TTGAAAGCAGTATTTGGAGACATAATCGATGTCTGAAGAAATACCCCTAGAGAAGTTTCCAAAACTGTGAAACACACAAGTTAAGACAGAGTCAAGGAACTCTGCCTATGGTAAGCAGGGTAGATACAAAGAAAGTCAGATATAGGTCCATTGTAGTAGAAATTGCTGAAATTAAAAGAAAAAGAGAATAATCTAAAAATAGCCAGAGGAAAAAGTACATTCGAAGAAGAATATAGGACAGACAATTGGATTAAAATTAACCATTTCCTGATCTGTAAAATATAAAAGGTGGAAGCCACATTTCTAGGATGCTGAAAAAGAAGAATTCTCACTAGGAATTTTACCCAGCAAAAATAGTCTTTAAAAATATAGATGGACAAATTTACAGTGGGGAAAAAAATAGAACAATGATTGTCTGAGGCTGTCGGTTGATACACGCATATATAGCAGATGGGAACCAGGGGGCTTGGGGTGAAAGAAATGTTCTGAATTTTGATTGAGTGGGGGTTTGTTAGAAATCATTAAACCGTATGCCTCAAACAGATGCAGTTTACTGTCCAGAAATTATATGACTTGAAAATGGAGGGAGATTCTATTTCCAGCCAGGATTAAAAGAGAAGAACTAGATTTACTTTCCCATCTGAAACAACTTTTAAAAACTAGGCAAACCAATGGAACAGTGGTTTTTATGATGTTGAAGTCAGGCAACAAAGGACAATGGGAACCAAATGAACAGTAAAAATCACACCAGCTTTCAGCCTGAGATCCCAGGCTGCACAGCCAGGAGGGGCCACCCAGTCGAAGCCCAGAGGTCTCCCTGATTGAAGACTGAGATGTGAGTCCAGGGAGATAAGGATTTGCTGAGCTGGATACTGGTGCTTTCCTCGCCCAGTTGTGTCCGACACTTTGTGACCCCACGGACTGTAGCCCGCCAGGCTCTGTCCGTGGGGATTCTCCAGGCCAGAATCCTGGAGTGGGTTGCCATGCCCTCCTCCAGGGGATCTTCCCGAGCCAGGGATCAAACCCCGGTCTCCCGCGTTGCAGACAGTTTCTTTACCATCTGAGCCGCCAGGGTAAATGTGAGTGTTTGAGGAGAGTATTTGCAGCCAGGGTAGGAACCACCCAAAGATTGAGTGAGGCACATCCTCAGACCTCTGCCTGGCTGACAACGTCTGCTCTCAACAGGCAGCCTGGAAAACCTCATAGTTCCCATGGCATCAGGTAAAGTCTTAGAATGACTTTGCCTCAATAATGGGACAGGATTATCGTCAAATTAAACAGTACTCTGATAAGACCTATGAGTTTAAAAGGAAAAACTGAAAGGATCAGATTATTTCCAGTTAACTGTGTCCCAGAGCAAAGCTCAGGCACCCCTCGAGGGTTCATGGCACACACTTTGAGAACTGCTAGATGATGAGACACCTCATAGTAAAAGTTTTAAATCCCCGGATTAACGGAGACAATTTAAAAGGTCTTGTAAGAAAGGAAGAAATGGGGATTTTTCTCATGATCTATGCCACCCCCAGTGGTGCCTTCTGGTTGTGACGTCAGGAAGAAGAGGTCAAAGTACAGAACTTTTTAAGAGGTCCCTGAGAACTTGGTTATTCAAACCTGTTACTATTGATGGAGGACCCTGACTATATCATGCATCTTTCCAGGAACTCAGGGCTGTATAAGCCAGATTTTGCTGTACCTGCTTCTATGATTCTGTGTTAAAGTGCCTATTTTATGAGAAGGAGAGCAGTTCTGTATACTGTTGCTCCCAGCTGTGGGAGGCCATATCATTTTTGGTGGCTGTTTAAAGACACTGTCATCTCAAACAGAACCTTAATCCTGTCGGATTGACCATAATCACTTTTTACAATGCAAACACTTGTTGAGAGTCCCAACACTCCCCTCAGTGCTCCATGTGAGCGGTTGATACGGAGTCAGTTGATAGGCAAGCATGGAACTGTAGAGCATGACTCCATGAACATCCGAAAGCGAAATCCTAAACAGTTGGATAAACCCAACCTGTTTCCAAGATGGCTTCTGGCATCATCATAACTATTTTAATCGTTGCAGGAAAATATTATTTATTCATAGATGTGTTTGTGTCTTTAAAAAAATCCTGTTTTATGTAACATCATAACAATTCAAACCCTCCCCAAACCATGGCTCTAACTCCATTTCCAGTTGCTCTTTCTCTTGAAATGTTCCTTATTATACTTAAATAACTCCTCCTTAACAACTACTCATGTTCTGAGCAGGGAACAAGGTTGCTAACTAAGGATTCCCGGAACCTGAGTTAAGAGACTGACACCTACCTTGATTCCATTGCAGCAGAAACCAAGGATACAGTCATAGTGTCACCTTCAAGGATGGAGCACTGACATTCATCACCATTTCACATTGGAGGAAATTTGACATTCTAACAAATTCCCTAATCCTCTTAAAGGAGCTTTCCTTTGACAAGCAAATACCAGTCTGTTCTGTCTGTGGGTGGAGTCACCACAATATGAGAAGCCCGCCTAGAGAAGGTAGCACATTGTCTCATTGTCCTTGCATTCTGCTCCTACAGTGGTTTTGGGGAAGCTTTCTTACTTATCTCCTCTCCAAAGTGAGCTCTTTTGTATATATAAATAAGTGAGTCCTTTTGGATGTTGCACAGTGAAATCCTAGACCTTTATCTAAGAAGTTTAAAAAGCCACCCACAAATCCAGGGTCACTGAGATGTTTTCCTCTGAACAAGGTGACTTTTGTTTTACGTTGTTGGATGAGAAGGCTGATCTAGGAGGCACAGAGCCAAATAGCAAATAACTCCAAGCTCCTTCCTTTCTCCAGATTGCTTCCTTTCCTTGGTAGCTCGCCCTGCAGGGAGAGAGTACGGAGCTGGCTGTGTTAAGGACTTCTTTTGTAACAGACAAACAGACTGCTACTTTTTTATTCGTGGAGACCTAATAGGATACTCGGCTTAATCCGAAAGCCAAGATGAAGGCTCCACCTGCGGGAGTTCCCCTCTATTAGTCACATTCAGACCTTTGAAGGAGCACAACTGCCAGTGGCATGTGGCAGGTTTTACTCTTACCTTCTCTTTTTTTAACTGCATGTGGCATACAAAAAAGTGAACTAAATCCTAAAAGTGTTTCTGTTAATAATTAAAATGAAACTGATAATGCAAGGTTGTATGCTGTTTTTTAAAAATTCCAACATCTGTAGACACAGTTTCTTGGAAGTTTCAGATGTGGAACTTTGCCATGCACGCACTGGAGTAGGCAGAGGGGAGTCATTTCTGCACAATTACAGAACTCCTAAGCAGCTTTCATGTCCACGGGTCATGTAAAAGCTGCTGAACCTTCCTTGTCAACTGGTTAGTGAGGAGGGGCTAAAGCAAGCAGGAGTTCCCTGATAACATTTTCTAGTTAACCACCATTCTGAACCATTTGATTTAGAAAGTTGAAAAGAATTGTTTAGGTTCACAGTCTTTGTGTAGAACAATAGGAGCAGATACGTTTCAGAATTCAGAAAGGTCCAGATTTAGAAGGGTAATAAAATACATGGACTTAAAGCGAGTTCCAGTGGAATCTGGGACAGCACCCCACCATCAAACACGTTAATATTTCCAAAGGTATGAATATTCACAGAAAGGAACAGCATTCACTGTCAGCTCATAGGAAGTTTTACTGCCAAATATGTTTGCTTAAGTTTGGTTTTTACCTTTCATCTATGGAGTTGCAAATAAGGAGCTGTGGACATATGTTGGAGTGACAGAAATACAGCAAGACAAGCCTGATTGAATCCTGGTTATATTGAATAGAGCCAAATCACAGGGTTGACGGTGTATGATCTTATGTGTCTCTTACTGTTCCCTTTTCTGAATTTCTCTTTGCTTATTGGTCATACGGGGTAATATTTGCAGGCTTTTGTGAGGAAAGCTAATGTAATTTAATCACTAAACAGTGATTGGCAGATAGTGGCTATTCAGTAAATGTTAGCTGTTAAAATTTTGCCTCTTCCCCCTTTCCTTTTATGAGATAAAAATTTATTGATAACAGTTGTTGCAGTGTTAGTCTGTAAATAGACTTCACGAATATGGATTGCCCTGATTTCACTGGAGAATTAAATGTCTAAATTTTAATATTCAAATTCATTTCTTAAATGACTAATACAACTTTAAAATTTGCTTATAGGATGACTAAACTTTTCAGTGATGAATAAATGTTTTGATTAATGTCGTATTTAAATTTCTTGAATGCTTTAATTGTCATTTGCCATTATGAGGCCCCTTTTAAAGTTTCTATCTAGAGACTCATCTTTTAGAAAAATAATTTGAAAAGTAGAGTGCTGATGATGCTCATGCTGTCACAAACGTATAACCAAGGTTTATAATTTAGTATGTTGGGAAAATGGCCTTGGGACATAAGTCTTTTCCAACTTTACCTCCCAAAATTTTAAAAGAACTTTAATGGGCTTTTCGTGCAAAACAGTTTAAAGTGTATTTTGTAAAAGAAATAAACGCACAGACATAGAAAATAAACTTGGTTGTTTATTTACCAAAGTTTGTTTGGTAAACTTATGGTTAGCAAAGAGGGAAGCAGAGGAGGAATAAATGTAGAAGTTTGGGATTAACATATACACAGTGCTATATAAAAGAGATAACCAGTGAGGACCTACTGTATAGCACAGTGAACTCAATGAGTTGTGATAACCTATAGAGGAAAGGAACCTAAAAAAGAATGTGTGTGTATAATTGAATCACTTTGCCACACACATGAAACTAACACAGTGTTGTAAAACAACTTAAGGTTTTTTTCAAAGGCATCTTTTGTAAAGTAGACCTTTACTTTTAAAGTCATAAGGCCTCCTTTTTTTAAAAGGGGAAGAACAAAAGCAGAAGGATTTCAAGAGAAGAAAGAGGTTAAGCTACTTGATGGGCATATGCCCTACAGGACTTACTAGCATTTGAGTGGGCAGAGTGGATCTGCCTGTATTTATATGCGTTGTATCACCTGCCTTCACAGCTGAACTATCAGCAGAAAGTAGGCATCATGTACTGCAAAGCTGGACAGAGCACGGAAGAAGAGATGTACAACAATGAATCGGCCGGCCCAGCCTTTGAGGAATTCCTCCAGCTGTTGGGAGAACGCGTTCGGCTCAAAGGATTTGAGAAGTATCGTGCGCAGCTTGACACCAAAAGTAAGAAATACTTATACCCTCCTACCAGGCTTATTGTCCTCCTGCTGTGTTGATGTTCGCCTGCTAAGTCACCCATAAAACAACACAGTCACTAACTGTAGAATACTGCTGGTGATGGGGGAGAGGAAGCCAGTGGGGGAGGATGTGGCTTTAACACAATTGAAGACGATAATCAAAGCATTTAGGATTGGAGTGTAAGAAAAAGTAGTGTTATTAGAAGTGTGGAAGGTAGGAAGCAATGCATGGAGATCGTGCAGAATTCCTCCTGGGTAGTGTTGCCTAAGCTTCAATGTATTTAGCTGAATGTTAGAGTGACTAAGAACTCTTGCAACTTAACAACCATCTGATCATAAGCCCCAGAAGTCTTGACTTTCATTAACTCATTTCATAATCCTTCTCCATATCTATGTAGTCAGCTATTGTAGGGTTTTCTTAATCACTTTTATATTTTACTGTCTTGAGATATTTTTATTTTCTGTTGTTATTTGTTCATAGTCTAACTTAATCTCCAAGCAAACAGGCTTCTTAGCTTTGGTATTAGTTTGGCTAATAAAATGTGTTGATTAAAATCACACTAGTGCAGCAGTCTGTTTATCTACAGCTCATGAACATAGAGGTTTGTCCATTCCCGTTTCCCAGGTGGTTAATAAAAGAGTTAGGTTCTCAAGTATCTAGAGTATGTTGATTTCTGCTGTGTATCTGTGTGGAAGCAAATTTTAAATTTTATCTCAGTATCCATCCACAGACACCTGTGACCTGTTTTTCTTTGAGAGGGTCTTTGGATTAGCACATCTGTATTGCAGTCTATAGTAATCACTCTCATTTTCTGTACAGGAAATTAAATAAGGAGTCGAGTCATGAAAACAGAAAAGCATTCATAAACTCCACTGCAGGGAAGAATTTCCTGTTGCCATGGTTTTGCTGTTGCCAACTTGGAAACGACGTGCAAGAGAGCCTATGAAAAACCATAAATAGCCTACCTACACTCTTAAATATTATTTTAACGTTCCATACTCTGCTTGCAACTGCAGAAAATATTAAATCTCAATATGCCCATAAATTCTTTTTATCAAGATATTCTGATATTTACTCTGTCATTTGTTCACACTATCCCAGTTTGTTGTGTTATGTAAATTATAATCACCACAAAGAACTATTAAAAGGGTCTGGGAGGCAAATGTAATAAGAGCCTTGATTCTATCAGTGAATGGTCAGATTGGGAGTTGGTAAGATTATTTATCATTTCCTGGTCCTTCACTATCTCCTGGATTTTGCTCAAACTCATGTCCATTGAGTCCATTTATTATTTGTGTATTTACATGTTCCTAGCCATCTCTTGATGAAAGGACAATATGAGAAATGTAGATAGCAGGGCCATTCCTAAGCAATGTGGCATCATGCAAGGCAGTGGAATAAGCAAAATAAGCACTTTGCACATTTTGCCCCAATATCCCAATAACTGCAAAGACCTTGATTGGTAAACTGCCTCTAGTGGCACATTTTACGATTATGTAATGCATAAGTCAAGGACAGGTTCCTTTTCACCGAGCTACTCTCCTTTGTGGCTCCTTGTAACCTTCTGAGGCATAGCTCCTGGAAAGGCGGGTTCACAGGTTCCTCTTCTGTCCTCTCAGAGGGTCATTTCCTAAAGTCATTGAAAAGTAGGAAAGTGTTTCCACTCTAAAGCTTGAAGAAGACAGTATGCATATTTATCTCTCTTACTCCCAGCTGAGAAGGACTATTAGCGTCATCACATAAAGGGGTATTAAAAAATAATAGACCAAAAGACATCGAGATCAACCAGCCCCTGCACACCCCAGCAGCCTTTACTGGCCATGACACACCCAGAGATGAGACTTGTTCGGTGTGCTGTGAGATGATCTCACCACCTCTTACCTAATCTTAAATTGTGTTAAACTCTTTCAATATAATGCTTAAAAAAGAGAAAATGCTTTCCAGAACATGTGTTCCTAAAGGATCTCTCCCTCTCTATGTGATAGTGTAGTTGTCACTTGGATCTGTGGATTTGTAGTCTTAAATCAAATTCAAACATTATTTGTCAAGCTCATTTTATTTTTCTGCACTTCATCTTCTGACTCTCCAATTATACACACATTGAGTCACTTACTAGCTGTGATTTAATTTTTAACATCTCTTCCTCCCCTGCCACCCATGCTTATAGCTTGGGAAATTCCTATTAATGTTTTTCAGGTTCACTGTGTTTTCTTTTCTCCCACTGTTTCTTAGTCTGCTGTTAGTCAATCTAGTGAAATTTTTATTTCAGATATTGTGATTTTTAAGTCCAGAGGTTGCATTTGGGCTTTCTCTCTCTCTCTCTCTTTTTTTTTTTTTTCTTTTCTCCGTTACCCACCCCCTTTTTTTTGGAGTAATCTTATATTTCCCATATTCTTCTCATTAGGTTCATGTCCTTTCAAGCCTTGATTGTATTTATAACAGCTGTTTCAAACTGTTTGCATGCTAGTTCCATCATCTCTGTCCTTTGGGGTCTCCTTTTAACAGATTTTCTCATGCTTTTGAGTTACATTTTATTTCTTCATATGTCTGGTTATTTTTGATTGAATACTGGACATTGTGAATGTTTCACCATTGAGGATCTGGATTTTGTCCTCTTCTTTAAAGATGTTGTTTTATTTTGGTAGGCAATTAAGTTAGTTACAGAAGAGTTTGATCTTTATGAATCTGTTCTTACATGTTTTTAAAGCATAGAGTAGTTTTTGTTGTTGTTCTTCAGTCACTAAGTTGTATCTGACTCTTGGCAACACACCAGGCTTCTTGATCCATCACTATCTCCTGGAGTTTGCTGAAACTCATGTTCATTGAGTAAGTACGTCATCTAACCATCTCATCCTCTGCCACCCCCTTCTCCTTTTGTCTTCATCTTTCTCATCGTCAGGGTCTTTTCCAGTCAGTCAACTCTTCACATCAGGCTCTTTAGTTCCTCTTCACTTTCTGCCATTAGAGTGGTATTATGTGCATATCTGAGATTGTTGATATTTCTCCCAGCAGTCTTGACTCCAGCTCATTAGTAGTCTATAATCTTTGGCTAATTTACTGCTCTTACTAAGGCATGACTTTTCTTGCACCTGAATACAGCATATTCAGCGAAGTATCTCTACTATGACTGGTCAGAACTTCAATGTCTTCCAGCCCTGTGTGAACTGTGGCTGACAGTTCTCTGGCAGTTATTTTCCCAACAGTTTTTCTTTTCTTTCTTTTTTTTGTAATTGAGGTATAATTGACATACAACATTATATTTGTTTTGTGTGTGCAACATAATGACTCAGTGTTTTTGTATATTCCAAAATGGTCATCATAATAAGTCTAGTTAACATGTATCACCATTCCTAGTTTTTTTTTTTTCTTGTGATGAGAACTGTTAAGATCTTAGCAACTTTCAGCTATTCTATATAGTGTTATTAACTGTAGTCACCATGATGTACATTACCCTGATATTTTTTCTTTTCCTGGCTTTTGCAACCCCACTCTACGCTCGTGCAGCTTAATATTCAGCCCAAGACTCAAGGGAACCCCTGTGCAGATTTCTGAGCCTCTTTCACTGTGTAGTTTCCTCCTCTTCAGTATTGTGACCAGCAAATATCAGACACACCTCAGCCTTCCAGACCTCCAGCATGTTTTGGCTTCTCTCTTCAAATCCCTCCTCTATGTGATTGTTTTGAAAGTACTTTCCAGTAGAAAGCTGGGTAGGATCATAGGCTCATCTCCTTTGATACTTCTTCCTGCAAGATCACTATCCAGTGTTGCCTATTGTAAGATGTCTTGAGGGAAAAAAAGTTGTTTCAGATATTTTATATATTTTTCTATTTATTTACAATAGGAGAGCAGGTCCTATACCAAGTACTGTTATGGCCAGAAGCAAAGGTCCTAGATGCTTTCTATATGTCGTCTCATTTAACCTCCACAAACTCTGCTAGATGCCAATCATCCCCATTTTACAGACTAAGCTTCTTTAGATGAACTAGTGTCCCCAAGGTTAGGTAGCTAGTAAGCATTACGGAGGGAGAACATATCCTAGTGTTATGGTTAATGATGTTTTCAGAGAAAGTATAAATGTAGAATTAAGTACAGTGATGCCCAGAGCTGTGGTTTGTGGCTGTGCCATCCCCTCTCTTGAGCCCTTGGGCTAAAATTACTCAAGCAATCTCATGAAATAGCTCCACTTGTCGTGTATTCAGATTTTAGTGCTTTGGTAAAAAAAAGAGAGGCTCAGGAAAGGAAGGTTTGGTGAAACTGTTGAACCATTTCTTCTTATTCCCAGTTTTCTGTACAAAGTCCCAATTTCCCATTTCATAAATAAGGACTTCCAGTGAACAAGCTACAGTTGTGTCAGGGGTTGGAACAGTTCTGCAATGAAAAATCTTTCCAGAGTGAATTTTTTTCTCCGTTTTTGTTTCCTTATTTGGATAGCATACCTCTAGATAATTGCCATCCCCTCCCACTACAGTAAATACAAAAATAAGCTTACCACCAAGCAGTTTGTTATTTGAAAGCCGGGAGACCACCCTCATTTTAAGTTGTGTGTGTGGATTATTATTTGGGAAATTATTTCCTAAAGAAGGCGCGTTTGTCAAGTCAGCATGCAGGAGACTTAGAAACTCTGGAAAAGCATTCCTTCAGAGCTCTGCCTTCATTCATTTGCCACAGTTTTAGTGAATGCATGTTGCTTCCCTCATTTTTCATCAGTGTTATAATGATCACTGAGATTCAGGGTCTTAGAATAGATGTAAGACTTTTCATAAAGAAAATAAATCCTTTATTTGGGATATTTAACCTTTGATAAAGAAAAGAATAAAACTAGCACTATTTAAATGCTTTGCACATTTAAAGGACCGTTTGGAGTTGTAGAGACTGATGAATGAAGAAAACTTTTTTCACCTCCTTAACTTTGAACTGTGTTAGAGTATCAGATTTTTCTCTTGAGTGTTACTGAGATGAAGTTGGCCAAGAAATTGAAATATGTAAAAGGCCCTGTTTAAGTCAGCTATACTTTTAATCTCAACTACACAAAATTGTAAATTCCAATCAGCGCGTTTCTTAAGCATCTTTTATAGGCTAGTACTTTCAATAGACATTGTTTCACTCAGTCCTCACAAAAATGAGAATATCGAGGGGCAGAGAAGTAAAGTGACTTGTCTGTGGTTATTTAGCAAATGATGCTGGAGGCGTTGGAATTCAGATTGTCTTACTTCCAAGTTGGAATCCAGGTAATTGCAGATATTTTGCAAAGTGCTCTGTATGTAGAAAATAGACTGATTCCTAAGTACCCACCCCGCATCATTGCTTATCCTTTTCTCACAGGATGTTAGTGGTTTTAAGAAGCCTTCAGTTCCAGGCATGTACACATGCACGCATGCATATTCCTTGAACTGACACCCAGTGTGAATTCTCCTGTCACGGCAAAGGGTGGTATTACAGACTCTTCTTGATCCCATCCTCAGTGAAGTAAGCCACCTCCTGATGATGATTAAAGATACACTGAAAAAAATGCAAGTAAATATGGTAGATGCCAGAGCAGAGGGATTCTTGCTTTCCCCAAATACTTTGTTAGTGAGTAGATGAAACAGTACTGAAGGGCAGGTGCACGTCTCATCTAAAATGCATGCCACTGTTCCAGGTGTCAATACTTGTTCCCAGCTGTGCTCCTTCTAAGCACTGACCTCTGTATCCCAAACCCAGAGGCAAGCTTATCTACTAGGGAGAGCTGGAGTCTTTAAATGGATGGTCCTTAGCAGCCAGCTGATGATTATTCTATTGGTATTTCAAACTATGGATGATAAGCAGTCCCGCTACCTGTCTGGGATTTCATCTTGTGCATTTTATGTGTCCTACAGTGGTGAGGACCTTCACAAACTGAGCTTAAACTGTCTTCATTCTGTTGACTTTCTTAGTCTTCTTGCGTTTAGCTCGTGAGATTGATTTTCTCCTTGTAGTCATAAAGATTTAAAACTAGGAACTTGCACAAAATCAAATTGCTTAGGCTTGTTTTCCTTTATCCAGCTTTTCTCAACTCAGACGTATCTGTTAGTGACCAGGAAGTGGTTATATAAAAGTCGAATTACTTTTTCCTGATTCAGATTCGTATACATCCATCTTTATCATTCAAGTTTTATCCCCCTTAAAGCAAAAGACTTTCACCAAGAGAAATCAAGAATGAATATGACATTGACCGTATCTGAAACTGCTTCTACAAACTTATTAACCTATATATACCATCTTTAAATAGAAGTGCCTATTATAGGATATTATCACTTATCTACACCTTTTCAAAGCAGCTGAAAAGAATATTTTTATCATTCCTCAATTACCAGTGCCTTCTTATCGTCTAGTTTGAATATGAGAAATTTTACTTTCTATGACTTAGTGTAGAGGGCTGACCTTATTAGTGGATATACACCACTCACTGGTAGTATAATTTGGAGGCAAATCACGTGATTATCAAGATGACCTATAAGATGCCTGAATTTATTTTTTAACTTTTAAAGCTCCATACAAATATGAAGGAGCGTTATCTTCTTTTTATCCCTCTTCTATAAGCATATTTTCCCTTTAGAAATTACTCAGTACATATTCTTTTCAACCAGAGGAAAAAGGATTTTTGTCACAATGATCATCTTCTGTGATTTTCTTTCCTTTTCATTCTGTTTAATTCTGATGCCTTATTCTTCAGAGAGTATAACAAACTTCATTTTCCATTTTCTCTGATAAAGTTTAGCAGTGCTATTGTGTATATAGTAATTTCAAGATTCTGGAATTCCTTTCTTCTCAGAAAAGAAAATTTAATTGTTTTGACCCTAGTTTCATCGCTAAAAGTTTTGAAACGGCTTCCGAACTGTTTAAAATTATCCGCAAGGCTGGGATTTTCAAAGGTCCCCAGAAGAAGACTGGTCATATAGCATCTGTTGTATAAAATGCAGCAAGTGTAGGAAAGAGAGAAAGGACAATAAATATAAAACAAATTATCTTCAGGGTCGTCTTCACTTTTCTTTCATGACAGTAATACCTTTAGAATTAGACATATAAAACAAAATGTAATAAAAAAACCTTTTTTTTTAGTTCATTAGTTTTGCTTAAAATTGACTTGAGACACACATAAGTACTCATCAGGTTGACACATTGACTTGAAAGTTGTAAAATGTGCCTATCAGTTCTGGAGCTATTTATACCAAGAGTCTTTAACAATGGATACCTTCTTCATACTCAAGACCTGTTTTAAGTTGGTCAGTGATTTATTGTAATTAATTTGTAGTGTTTTTTTTGTGGTAGTGGTCATTAACATTTAGAAGATATTTTTCTTGGGGAGTTATGTTTTGGTGCATATTTTTGCAGTTTTTCAAAAGTAGTCCTTGCTTTATTCTACATTTATCTTGATTTTAAAACTGTTGGCATTTTATGCCCTCTTCAAAATTAAGATCCTCTAAGAAGCTCAAGGTTGAAACTAAGGGCCCTAGAATATCTTAGCAAATCTCTGCAAACTGCTGTTATGGTCTATTCTTGGAACAGTGTCTAAGGGCGGTGCAGCTACTGCATTAGAGTCCCCTAAGGGTATTTATTAAAATGGATCATTCTGCCCAGCCCCGCACCTACAGAGCAGTATTTCTGGGCATGGGGGATGGGAAGCTGCCTTTTAAGCAGCTCCCCAGGGGACTCCAGGCACACTCCAGTTTGAGAACTGCTGCTTTATGCTACATGCCAGAGGCTTTGACTTGCTGCCTCATTCTCTAAAATGCTCCTCAACAACATGGTTGATGAAGGATTGAGTTTACCCAGAATGAATGCACTTCCGTTCATTTTGCTGCCTGTAAGTCCAGGTCCTTTAAGGCTAAAGAGACTTCCCTTCAACTGGCCAGTTAATAATTCTCTTTGGTTTCCAAGTGTTTACGGACACATTGATTTGTCAGCAGTCAAGGAGGTCAAAGTTTTTTTTTTTTTTTTATAAGGAAAGTGAGCACAGACACATGTAGTCTTAAACTGTTCAGTTCAGTCACTCAGTCGTGTCCCGACTCTTTGCGACCCCATGAACTGCAGCACGCCAGGCCTCCCTGTCCATCACCAACTCCTGGAGTCCACCCAAACCCATGTCCATCAAGTCGGTGATGCCATCCAACCATCTCATCCTCTGTTGTCCCCTTATCCTCCTGCCCTCAATCTTTCCCAGCATCAGGGTCTTTTCCAGTGAGTCAGCTCTTCACATCAGGTGGACAAAGTATTGCAGTTTCAGCTTCAACATTAGTCCCTCCAATGAACACCCAGGACTGATCTCCTTTAGGATGGACTGGTTGGATCTCCTTGCAGTCCAAGGGACTCTCAAAAGTCTTCTCCAACACCACAGTTCAAAAGCATCAATTCTTTGGCACTCAGCTTTCTTTATAGTCCAACTCTCACATCCATACATGACCACTGATAAAACCATAGCCTTGACCAGACAGACCTTTGTTGGCAGAGTAATGTCTCTGCTTTTTAATATGCTGTCTAGGTTGATTGTAACTTTCCTTCCAAGGAGTAAGCGTCTTTTAATTTCATTGCTGCGGTCACCATCTGCAGTGATTTTGGAGCCCAGACAAAGTCAGCCACTGTTTCCACTGTTTCCCCATCTATTTGCCATGAGGTGATGGGACCAGTTGCCATGATCTTAGTTTTCTGAATGTTGAGCTTTAAGCCAACTTTTTCACTCTCCTCTTTCACTTTCATCAAGAGGCTCTTTAGTTCTTCTTCACTTTCTGCCATAAGGGTGGTGTCATCTGCATTTCTGAGGTTATTGATATTTCTCCCAGAAATCTTTATTCCAGCTTGTGCTTCCTCCAGCCCAGCGTTTCTCATGATGTACTCTGCATATAAGTTAAATAAGCAAGGTGACAATATACAGCCTTGATGTACTCCTTTTCCTATTTGGAACCAGTCTGTTGTTCCATGTCCAGTTCTAACTGTTGCTTCCTGACCTGCATACAGGTTTCTCAAGAGGCAGATCAGGTGGTCTGGTATCCCCATCTCTTTCAGAATTTTCCACTTAAACTGTTAGACATCACTATAATACCTTTATTACTCAGTGTTACAATCTTGTTAAGTTTCCATCTATTTGTTAAGAGGAAAACAATGGTTCTCTTGCTTGAGTGAAAAGTATTGGAAAAGAGCTCCTGAACTTGAAGTTTGTGGGCAGAATTCAGGGGTCTGTGAACTTGGGTGGGAAATAATTTTACATTTATTTTCATTGATCTCTAGTTGAAATTTAGCATTACCTTCAATTATGAATCTAGGCAACAAATCACAGTAGTATAGGTTCCACCTGTGATTTTACCAACCGAAAGTATAGGTATTTTCATATCATGTTGTGGAGGTATCTCAAGATACTGCTTATGCACTTTACTAGGTCAAAATTATAGTAGTTATTAGACCTACTGCTAAAACTTGTTACAGAAATCTTATGCTATTACATCATTTTTAAATTATTTTGATAGTATTTTTTAATCCATTGATTTCTGTTGAAATTTATATATTTTGTCTTTGTTGTTGTTGTTTAGTTGCTAAGTTGTGTCCAACTCTTTTGTGACCCTGTGGACAGTAGCCCACCAGGCTCCTCTGTCCATGGGATTTTGCAGGCAAGTATACTGGGATGTGTTGCCATTTCCTTCTCCAGAGAATCTTCCCTACCCAGGCATCAAACCCATGTCTGCCACATTCACAGACAGATTCTTTACCACTGAGCCCACCTGGGAAGCCCATATTTTTTTATATCTGTGCATTTACAAATATTTTTCTAAGAAGGAATCCATAGGCCTCACTAGACTGCCGAAGGGGGATCAGGTATAAATGATGGGTAAAAACCCCTATAGCAGATCTTAACTAGGATCTTTTCATCCTAAACCATTTCCTGCCCCCCCTCCCCTTGAGATGTCTCTCTTAAATGAGCTATTTTTCCTATTCTTACAATTGTCTCTCTCTCTTTTTTTTTTTTTACTGTAGCTGACTCCACTGGAACCCATTCTCTGTACACAACATACAAAGACTATGAGATCATGTTCCATGTTTCTACCATGCTGCCATACACACCTAACAACAAGCAACAGGTGAGAGATCCTCATGTTTTCTGTGTGTTTTTTCACCCTTGTTTCATTTCCCCCAGGAGCCTAAGTGGCAAGTTTGTAAAATCTTAAATCAGAGTTTAATGTTGCACCTGTCACAGCAGCAGGAAGCTTTGTACTTTGTGTGGAAGTAATAGCAAATGAGCTGAAAACAAATGAAGAGACACAAATTCTAGGTTAACAGCCAGCTGGATGGCATTGTGAATTAATCATTTGCTTTTCACCCAGGAGGATTGAGGTTTTCCTGAAATCTGAAAAGAACAAGTTGAAGTCATGGTGATTAGATGACTCTGCGGGGTTACAGAGAGCACATATGAGTGGGTGAAGTTTCATCTCAAGAGGCCAGTGTACAAGGCAGGAAAGTTCTGATGTTTCATTTCAGATTTCAAAGGAGGTTTCCTCTACTTACTTGGAGAAAAGTCAAAATAAATGTCAAATCTGGGATCTCAGAGACATTTTTTTTTTACGTATCCATCAGAAAATGGCATAAGTAACAATTGCATTTGTGTACCTCATATACAGATTTCTTTTCAAAAGATCTGAAAGCACAATGCCTATTACTAAAATGTAGTCAGTGAGATGATAAAATGTGAAAACTAAGAAATGGCAGATGGTTACAGAGCGAGATGGAAACTGGTAGTATTGTTTTAAAGAGTATGTGGCGCTAGTTGGTTTTTAAAATGTTTTAAAACAAATGATACCAAACTGAAACTTAAAAGACCCAGAGAATTAACAGACTCTACTTTCAATAGCTCTTATAAACACAGCAGTCTTAAATCACTCCTGACCTTAAAACAGACATAGATTTTGTTATTGTCAATTGTTGTTCTGACAGAGCACAGGCCAGCTGTAGAATGAATCACATCCTCTTTCACAGAATTTCACAAAACAGGGATCAAATCTAACACGTCGTCACTTAAGTTTGATTACATCATACATGTCAGTAACAAAATTTTACCTCTCTTGATTCCCAAAGTAATCAAGAGTAGAAAACAAAGCAGTGAGTCAGCTATAAATCTGAAATAAACCCATTTTAAGATAAATTCCCTGATCTGGAGTTTGTTGACTGTTTTATGCACATTCCCAATTCTAGATTTCTTAGAGGAAAATACCATGCTAAGAAAAATATACTGAACTCATTCTGACCAGACAGTAGAGAGATTTTAAAAACATTAGCAGATGATCTTCACAGGGAAGATGAAGCCTTATTCTACCTGATTACTCAATGGAGAAGGGCTTCCTAAGTGGCTCAGTGGTAAAGAATCCACCTGCCAATGCAGGAGATGTAAGTTCCATCCCTGGGTCAGGATGATCCCCTGGAAAAGGAACTAGCACTCCAATATTCTTGTCTGGAAAATCTCATCGGCAGAGGAACCTGGAGAACTACAGTCCATGGGGTCGCAGAGTCGGACGGGACTTAGGGACTAACCAACACTCAGCAGAGAAAAGTAACATGGGGGAGTGGGGGTAAAACATTCAGTAACAAGATTCAGTTGTTTATATCCAGCTAGATAAGTTAAAGTGCTGAGCTGAGTTAGTTGGCATCTAAGTGGACAGCTATCTAAATTATTTAATTTGGGGTCCAATCAAAGCAAAAGTATTATGATCCTAAATCAGAATGAAAGAAGTAATTGGTATTCTGCATATTAATAAATTTTAATTCTCTAGTTAAAGAATATTCTATATAGATTACAGTATGATTAGAAAAACCAGAAAGAATGTCTTAAAATCTTTTTGCAGGTATTGACTTATAAACACTGTCTTTTTTTCATTATATATATTGCAAGATGGGTAGATGGATTTATTTCTGTGTGGGTCCTTTAGTAAGTAAGATTACATATCAAGCCATATTTTGAAGGAAGGATGACAATGCATCAAAAAGTAATGACATCCATGCAGGAATGACATATACATAGATAGATTGTATTTGAGTTAGATGTGTTCAAGATCCTGAATAGATTAATAATCTTTGATAACAGGTATATTTTATTTAGCAATCAATAGGGAGTAGCCTTTATTTATGTCACAGCTGATAATATAGCATGTTTAGAAATGAAGTAGACAGCCTCATTAGAAGATAATTTGGGATGCTTTAAAATTCCTAAGGTTAAAAGTACATTTCACGAACTTCCTAACTCCCAATTCCCAACCCTAATCTAATGCTGTTGCTTCTCCAGTATTGGCCAGCAGCCAGTACTTGATCATTGATTTTACTGGTATGTAATCTGTGTAAGTTAAAGTCACTGGAGAAGTTTTTCTTTAAGATTTATAAATATAAGTTTGTCTCTAATGAATAGTTTATGTAAAGGCCGTGTTTAGTTGTTCTCCTCCTGGTAGGAGGCTCCATGTAATAAATACGAGTAACACAAATGTTGTTCAGTTTTTCTTCACATGATTGAGCTAAACTGCTTAAGCACCCCTCCCAGAGAGGCACTGACCTGGGATGATGCATTCGGAGGGTCTGAAATTGAAAGCCACCTTCCCTAAACACCTTTTAATGTGAAACAGAAGGTGGTCTTAAACAGCTTTCACTGTAATTAAAGCAGTTATTTAAACTTGGAATTTAACCTGCTATAAAACTGGTAGAACATTCTGGAATATTAATTTCTGCGTCCCCACCTTGTGCCACAAAAAGTATTATCAGAAAACACCTTAGCCCCATTGCTTTAAATGAAGCTAATTGAATCAGAACATAAATTATGTGGTAATTACTTCAGCAGTTCTCATCTTTTAAAAAAATCTTCCCCGTGGCAAGTTTCTTTCTTACACGCAAATGGAACAAAACTGTTGTTATGGAAACTGAGGATTTGGAGATGCTGGGACTTGGCGTAATATGCTAGAGATTGGTTAGATCTGTTTGAATGGACTATGTATTTTATGCAAATTTCTGAATATTCATTTCCATAGCCTTCCTTAGAGGAAATGATAAGACACGCTAAAATAATGACAATAACTGTGTAGATTTCCTCCCCTAATATGCACTGATTAATAATGAATGTTTTAAATACAGTTACATAAGGGAATCGAAGAGGAAAAAGCAGAGCGTGGTCATTTATGTTGTTTGCTTATGTTTTCTTTTAGCTCCTACGGAAGCGGCACATTGGAAATGACATTGTAACAATTGTTTTCCAAGAGCCCGGAGCACAGCCATTCAGCCCGAAAAACATACGATCCCACTTTCAGCATGTTTTCGTCATTGTCAGGGTTCACAACCCCTGCACTGACAGTGTCTGTTACAGGTAATGGCTCCAGAGGTGGCTGGGTGGGCGTTGGCGGGTGGTCACATCGAAGGCCCCCTCCAGCTCTTCTTTCGGAAGTGGCAATGGAAGTCTATCGCTATTTATTTCTGCCTTTAAACTGTGCGTGCGGGTGGCCAGATTCACAGGATGACGTAACATGGTGGCACTGACATTCCCTAGACATGTTGGTTAGACACCTGCTGTTTGCATTCGCACCTCCTCCTTAGGTGGTGTCCTTCATCCACACCATCTGGTCACCAGCTAATTACTCATTCTGCTAATTATATTTTGCTTTTGCCATGGCAAAAGCAGAGAAGAATAATCATAATAAGTAGGGAATAGTGAAAGTGAAAGTCGCTCAGTCGTGTCCAACTGTTTGCAACCCCATGGACAGTCCATGGAATTCTCCAGGCCAGAATACTGGAGTGGGTAACCTCCCCCTTCTCCAGGGGGTCTTCCCAACCCAGGGATCGAACCCAGGTCTCCCACTTTGCAGGCAGATTCTTTACCAGCTGAGCCACAAGGGAAGCCAAATAAGTAAGAAAGAGAAGTTTAATTTTTAAAAAATTATTGCAATTATTTTTAAAAACCCAAACCTTTGCTTCAGACTGATTTGATTCACTGTAACATTTCTGAATTCAGTCTTAGAGGCTTTGTGTTTGGTGGAATTGTTTCCATGTCCCTCATTGATGTAGTCTTACGAGTTACAGAATTCAAGATCTACCTGCAGCGGCCTCTGCAGAAATCCTGGAGGGGATTAGTGTTGAAGAGAGTAAGAACCTGTGATGCTGGATTGACATGAGTGTCATGCCAAGATGTTTGTTAATTTTGAATAGTTGTTTTTTATTTAATGTAGCCATCTATACAGAAAGTGGCCAACCTAGGCTGCTAATTGGTTTGTTGTGAAATCTACAACTGTCTAATCCTAGGGGTAAGGCAGGTTAATTATAGGAGAACAAGCAAGTTCAGGGAACAGACAAGTTAAAGTTACCCCTATTGACTGCCATCATCCCTGCCCATTCCACAGTAACTACATCTGATGAGCTCCTGATAAGCCCAGCTCTAGTTTAGGTATCTTATTTGTATCATTGCCTCACTCCATTTTTAAAACCTATGAAGTGGCTTACCTGGTGGCTCAGACCATAAAGAGTCTACCTGCCATGTGGTAGTGGGTCAAGAAGATACCCTGGAGGAGGAAATGGCAAACCACTCCAGTATTCTTGTCTGGGAAATCACATGGACAGAGGAGCCTGGCGGGCTGCAGTCCATGGGGTCACATAGAGTGGGACCCGACTGAACGACTAACACTTTCAGGAGGTGGGTACTGTTTTAATCCCCTTTCAGATGAGAAAACTTCAGTGCATGGGGATAGGTAACTTGCCGAGGTCAGCTGGTACTGGGCAGAGTGTCGGTTTGCACCACGTCTAATTTTAGAGTCTTGGCTCTTAACCACTCGGCCCTGCTGCCTCACCCCATGCCATGTGAAATAGGGTCTTTGCTCCCCTACTGCCAGCCTGCAGGCTGTTCCTGAATTTCTCAGATGCCAAGTCTATGTGAAAACCCCAAACCAGGGAGGTCTGTAGTTTCCTAGACTCGGTGGATGGAAACTCAAGCAAAGGAAGCCTAGATCTGAAGCCTCTTAGCAAGAATATGGTCTCCAAAAGCTGCGTTAGTTAGGTGTAGAAGGAAAGGATTAATGTAGAACATTCGACTGTAATTGGGATGGATAACTGAGTTTAGAAATTACTCCCAAGCAATGGAAATGTGCTGTGTACTGGATTCCTGCAAAGAATTTCATATGACTTTGTGGATAGAAAGCTAAATCCTGTTTTGAATCATCTCTAGGATGTTTGGGGAATGGAAAGCTATGTACTTTTCTTTTAAAAAGAGATTCTTCTTTTAAAGGTCTTTGTCTTAGTAAATCACTGTCCAGTAGAAATATAGTGCAAGTCACATATTCATTTTATATTTTCCAATAGCCATATTTTTTAAAGTAACAAGAAATGGGTAAAATTAATTTTACCAGTAGGTTTTTGCCCAATGCAAAGTGAAAGTCCCTCAGTCATGTCCAGCTCTTTGTGACCCCATGGACTGTATTTTGACCCAATAATATATATTATTTACCTGTGATATCCAAATATTATAATTTCAACATATAATTTTTAAATTTTAAAAATCATTGAGAAATCTTACACATTTTTAGACCAAGACAAATCTCAAGTGCATTTTTGATTTACAGCTCACTTCAGCTAGGATGCTCAATTTTCATTGGAAATAATATGTGTTTAGATTTCATAAAAATTGCAGTTGGAAAAGTACATTTATGATAGCTTATTCCAAGCATACTTTTAAAAGACTTTTAGAAAACGGAATCAAGTGACAGTTTTTAAAATTTAGTATATTCGAGAAAACAGCATTGAAACATGTATATTATCTAGGGTGAAACAGATCACCAGCCCAGGTTGGATGCATGAGACAAGTGCTCGGGCCTGGTGCACTGGGAAGACCCAGAGGGATTGGGTGGAGAGGGAGGTGGGAGGGGGAACCAGGATGGGGAATACATGTAAATCCATGGCTAATTCATTTCAATGTATGACAAAAACCACTATAATATTGTAAAGTAATTAGCCTCCAACTAATAAAAATAAATGGAAAAAAAAATTTAGTATGATTTAACACTCCTTGACCGTACCAGCCACATTTTCAGTGCTTGATAGCCACTGGAAGTATGTCCGGTGCAAGTCTAAATACACTGATATAAGGAGGAAAGCTGTCTGAGCCTTCTTCAATACTTGACTGGTGGAGGAAGTGATACGTATTTTATTCTTTTCAAACTCTCCTCCCCAGCCTGAAAATCATGATTTTTGCTTGCTCTTTTTTTCCTCTCTCTCATTTTTAATCTCTTACCTGGAGATCACATGTTCTTAGCCCGCCTTGTGATGCAGGATACCTTTGCAGGAGCACACTGGACTCCCCAGCTCACAAGACATGGGCTCATCCCGAATTCCCTAGTTGCCAAGCTTGCTTGAAAACCCAGTACACTGTGAATTTGGAACTATACTAGTGATCTTTTCCTGTTAAAAACTTCGGGTACCTGGGTTTTTCTCAGTCCTTCTCAAATTCAGGTAGACATGTTTCCTGGGGTATGTGGTGATGCCAGATATTTATAGGCCCAGAATAACTAGGGTACCTCGCTTGTAGTCTTTAATGCTTGGGAAAGGGATGTGAAGGTTTATTTTCTCATGAAAACGTGTTAGGAAGTAGAATGGAAAATTTGTACCAATTTTAAGATAAAATGTGGGTCTTCAAAGAGTTTTCGTACATGTGGGTTTTTCTCATACTCCAGTCCCTCCCCCAAACTACTAGGGATATGAATTCCCAGACCTCTTTCATTAGGGAGACTGATGGGAAAGCTTAGTGATACATTTAATTTATACAAATTTTATTTAAATATACTTTTAATTTTATCTGTAAGAGATGTAGTTAGACTATTCAAATGCTTTCCCTCATTTAAAGTCTCTTGTTCCCAGCTTTCTCCACTGTGAACACTCAACGTTTATTTACTGACATCTACTTGGTGCCCAGAGAGTATGGACAGTTAGTTCCTCAAAGGAGTGTCTTGCTGTAATTGTGTAGAGAGTTGTGGGGTCAGTACAGGCTAAAGATACAAAGAACGTTTAGCTGGGAAAATAAGATTCAGTGTATGCTGTGTAGCACAGATGGTGGGATTCGGTGGCAAATTAGAAATAATTCTGTGAGTCAGGTGGTGGACAGCGGTACAGATGGACACACAAGTGCAGGAAGGACACTGGTAAGTACAGTAAGAAGGCTGTGTTGTTGGAGAGATTAGTGGGCTGTAGGGGTCCTTGAAATCCTAGGCCTTCAGACAACACTATATAAATAGACTTAGGAAAACTCACTCATTGTCAACATGCAAAGTAATTTATATACAAAAATGCAAATTTAGAGTGTATTGTTACTCATTTATTTTTTTACTGGTTCTTTGCAGCCCTAATCAAAATATGCTAGGCAGTATTCTAGGCTCTAGGATTCAACAGGGGAGCAGAGAGGAAAAAAACAGTCCCTATAGTGAACATGGAAATGAGACTCTGAAATAATGTGTGCTGTATCACCCTGGGAACTATAATAGAATGTCTATACAGGAAAATCTGACTAATCCAAGTTAATTCCAGAGTCTAGTTAACCTTGAATAGTAGACATAGCCAAGAACTCAAATTAATCACTAAGTCTGAGTACTAAAGCTTATCACCATACCTGATAAAAGAGCCCTCTGGTCTCTATTCACTTGTATCCTTACAAAGAGCTTAATTGTCTGATTTCAGTTGACAGAATAGATTAGAAGCAACAAATCAAAAAGATGAACCATTTAGTGGCAAGGATGTACTGAAAGCATCAATAAGTGATGACTGATAAAGGGAGATACAGAAAAATGAGTCATGTTTAATGTACAGATTTAATAAGCATAGCCATCCAAGGTCATTTGACTTGGGACCAAACAACCAAATGTACGCCATTTACCCCAAGGGCCTCAATTTATAAAAACACAGTGCAAAAATTTTATGACCATTTTTTTAAACAGCTAATGAATGGATGGATCTAGGCATTGATCATCAAAGGCTGCAAATATCCTAAAAAGAGACAAATGTGTGTCTCGTAATGGAAGAACACAACCCCATCTAGAAATCAGTCTTACCCCTCTTTCCAAAATTGAATGTGAATTTGATCAAACATCTAGAGAAGCCAAGTTGCAAGAAATATAAAAGACCACAGAACATATTTTTATTCAGGAAAATTCAAGCTCTGGACAACTCTGGAACACATAGCCCAGTTTCTTCAACAAATAAATTGCTAGAAATAAAGGGGAGGTGAAGTGAGAAAAGTAGAGGAGCATTAACAGAATTCAGAATTTTAAGATGAAATTAATTAATTGTAATGTATGAGCCTTATTTGGATCCATTTCAGGCAGACTCTTTAAAAATTTTAGGACATCTTTAACAGTTGAAAGTTGCTTTTTGATGAAATTAAAGAATTATTGTTAACTTTAAAATGAGTGTTGTATAAGTAGTTTTAATAAATACTCATCTTCAAAACAGATATTAAATTGTGGTCAGGTTAGGAAGTATCCTCTCAGGAAGATTTCCATATTCACTGGTTGAGATGTAGTAAATGTTGAAATGAGTCAGGATGATGTAGTGCAGAAAGCACTTTGAACCAAACCGGACTGTTAAACATCTCAGATCTTAAATTTCCCTTTCTGTGCAGTAGAAGACTGCTTGACCCCTACCTAAAAATTCCCTAAGTGTCTGGTGTAGGCAGGGAATGTGGTATATGCACATTAAATGACCATGCCTTTCTTCTTTCCTTCTCTTGACTAAAAATAAACAAATACGTAAGCTTCAGCTGTGTGTCTCACAGTTGAAAAATCAACTGTGTCTCACAAAAGAAAAATCAGAGTGGATCAAGTGGTGAAATTCTTTCAGAAGGTCTATTCCCAGCCATCATTAATCAGCATCCTTCTTGTCCCGGGTGGCTGACCTCTACGACAAGATGCTGAAAATGTCACTCTTGGTGCTGAACACCATTTAGGCAGTGTTCAGACTCCCTGGCATAGCCTGCTGCATGGAGTCCTTCAGTCTGGCCTCTCCTGTCCTTCAGCATCTGCTGGCCCCTCTCCCAGTCCTCCCACCCCCGCCCTCACCCCCCATCGTGGAGCTACTTATCAGCCCTTCCTCTCTGCACATGCCTCTCTCTGGGCAAGAGTGCCTCTTCTCTCACACACCCTGGCCCGCCTTCATCCAGGAAGGCCTGCTCTTCTTTTCCCTGGGAGGGCTCCCCTGACCTCCCAGGACTGGATAAAGTATCTTTTGTGTTCCAGTAGCATGCTGAACTCTCCCCAGAAGAGTGCTCAGCCCAGCAGAGGTAGCCCCACACCAGGATTTGAGCTTCTGGAAGACTGAGCCTGTGACATCTCACCCTTGGTCCTGGCATATAGTCAGGTGTTGGTGATTGAAGACTGTTAGCAGTAGAGAGCCCCCAGGGAGGGGACGGTGGGTGCCCATTTGTTCTGCCTCTCATCTTTCCTGTCCTTTGCCAGGGTCTGCTTTCTTGGAAAGCTCCCCAAGCTGGCAGTCTGATCTGAACTTCTAAGCTCAACAGTTTTGATGCTAAGTCCCCTTCCTTTTAAATGTCGTTCTTTATTGCTGTTGCCATGGTGCTTCAGAAGTTCAAGAGTCTTAGTCTTCTCACTCTTTTTCATTGAGACCTCTGTTTAGATGTCTCTGCAGCATTCCCATGTATCAGCTGTGACTTCATCCAAGGTCTTTGATGCCAGCAAAGCCCCAGGCCCACTGGCAGCGGCCTAATGGTGGTCTCTTTGGCTGTGTGATTCTTGTAGATGGTCCCTTTCACAAGCACCTTAAGAGAGGGAAATTTAAAAACATAGCCCCAGGGAGTAAATGTGATCTTGTCACACTGCCGGTTATCCGGAAGCTCAGATTCCCATCCTGGCTCGCTCTAACAAGCTCTGAGAAATTGTTGTACTTCTCCGAGTCTGTTTCCTGGAGAAGTGAAGAATGCACCAGCTGTTCAGACGGAGGTTCAGGGATGTGTCAAACGGCAGAGTGAAAGAGAACACCTTCCTGGTCCCTCAGTGCTTTCAGGATGAGGGGAACAGAACAGATTTTTGTTAAAATGAATATAGATACTCTTCAGTGGAATGCAAAATCAAGATGAATGTTAAGATGAAACTCAAGATTCTGTTGACAAGAGTTTGAGGAACCCTGACTTCTCTTAAGTGTCCTCCCCCGACCCACTGCTAACTTTCCATAACCCTTTCAGCCTTTGATCTTCTGTCTGTCTTCCAGATAACCCACTTGAGTAGATAACCCTCCCAGTCCTTGACAGTGCTGAGCATGTAAGGCATGGCTATGATTTTAAAGAATGTATTATTTCTCAAGAGATACAGCATTGCATACTAGGCTAAGTGTGGCCAAGAAGCTCTTTGGAATGTGCTTTTAAAAATAGCGAAAGCCATTTATAATTAATTCATCTCAAGTACCTATATATAGCACACTGAAATTCTAGAAAGGCTTCTTTTCTTATAAAGGCAAAGAAAAAAAATCTTTCTACTTAGCTTAAAACAGACCTTATTATCAAGAGTTCAGAATTGGTGGCATCTAAATTAATGAGCTTTTAACCTTGTAGAAAACCTTGAAAGTTAGATTTATCCAACATAAAACCCTTTGTTTGAAAAGAGCATTCTAGGGTATCATCTTCCTCATCTTCTGTAAGGATTCTATTTCTAATGATGCAAAGCTGATTTTAGTGTCTGTATCATTTACCTCCCTACCGTGATGAATCACTGATAATTATATGTTAAGGGTTCAGGTTTTTTCCCTTATAGTTCATTCTCGAGTCTTCTAATTATCAGTGGGTTTTCAATATATGTTTGTCTAACATTCTATTAGCTAATAAATAGATCTGTTAGACAACCCGTGAGTTTAAGGGGCAAGTGGATGGATGGTGCCCATATCAACACCTTCTGCTAAACATTTTTCTCTCCTTGTTTAAAATAAAATCTCTGCTGTTTCTTGAGAAAGAATAATGATATGAAATTAGCAAGAGAAGAAATTGTCCATTTAAAAGGGAAAGATATTAAGTATTTCTGGGTCCTTCTGGGATTCCTCTTAGAAAAGCAAGTGAATCTGGATTTAAGCATCATCTGCTTGACTTGAAGAAAAAAAAAGATCAAATTAAAATTATACAGCTGTCAGCATTCAAGCCAGACAGTTCACATTAGGCAGGAAAAACTGCCTTTCTAATACTGATGTAATTAGCTATTGTGCAGATGGAAGTTTCTGTGAATTCTCATCTCCAGTTAGAAAATGGGATGTTGCCTGCCACCTTTCTTTGTCATGAAATCAACTAGGTAGTCTTTTTTTTTAAATAAATTTGTAAAAAGCCATTTTCAGAAATAGGCCATCTTGTGGCATATTCTGACAAAATATATAATTTATCTCCTGAGGATGCTGATTTTTATTTATTTATCCTACTTTCACAAGCAGTAATCATTTTTGGAAAAGCAAAGCCAAGTATCTTCAAGCAAACCCTTGAAATAAAAAACTGTGCAAGTTTAATTTGAAAGTTGCATGCTCTTTGATTATGTCCTTTCGATTCTGAGAATTCTAGAGAAACAGATTTTGTATTCTTAGTACAGTTGCATAATTGATTCACTTTTTTTTTTTTTTTTTTTTGTATTAAGTCACCATGGTTTGGGACAGTTTATTTCATAAGCAATAGACAGCTTTTTTTTTTTTTTCTTAATACTCTTTTTTTTTTTTACATTTTTTTCTTTTCATTTATTTTTTTTTTTCATTTATTTTTATTAGTTGGAGGCTAATTACTTTACATCATTGCAGTGGGTTTTGTCATACATTGAAATGAATTAGCCATGGATTTACATGTATTCCCCATCCCGGTCCCCCCTCCCACCTCCCTCTCCACCCGATCCCTCTGGGTCTTGATTCACTTTTAAATAGTTGGATAATTTGAAAAGAGGATGTTTGATCTGTTAGAATCATCATTTCCAGTCCTCTCAAACTTTGTTCAGGTCCTGGAAGGAGATCTTGAAATATGATATAAAACACATATACTGCCCCACTTTCATTTAATTTCTGTTGTTTTAGGAAAAACTTAAGTCTTTTTCCTTTTGAGATTAAAAATAATAGATTAGTATAGATACTTGTAGAGCCTTGTCTTGGACCCAATTTTAGCAATATAGATGCAAAGGCAGTGACTGGAACAGGCTTTCTTAACTCAATCTTGCTTAAAGGAATGGGGCAAGGAACATATTTTCCCTACCAATCGTCAGAATCAAATACCAAAAGTAGAGAATTTGGACCAAAGAATAGCTTCATTTAAAAATATGGTTTTAAAGCACTGCTGGTATTACCACATAAAAATGATAATCCTTTTCTCTTATCCAAATATCAAGTTTCATTTTAAAATTATGCTTTTGGGAGAATTCCCTGGTGGTCCAGTGGTTAGGACTTGGCACTTTCACTGCTGAGGCCCAGGTTCAATCCCTGGTTGGGGAACTAAGATCCAGCAAGCTGTTTGGTTCAGCCAAAGCAATTTAATAAGAGATAATTTAAAAAATAAAATAAACTCATCCTTTTTGATCTGGTTGCTTAAGGCCTGACACATAGGAAAAAACAATATGTTTAATTTTTTTTTAATCCATTCCTCTTCTTTGAATACATGTCTTTGGATATTTGCATTAGAAGATGACTTCTGTGGTCATCCTGTCTAAAATGGGGACTGCATTTGTGTTCCTCCAGAATCTGTGTTGTTTAGTCACTAAGTCGTATCTGACTCTTTTGTGACCCCATGGACTGTAGCCCACCAGGCTTCTATGTCCATGTGATTTCCCAGGCAAGAATACTGGAATGAGTTGCCATTTCCTTCTCCAGGAGATCTTCCCAACCCAGGTATCAAATCCATGTTTCCTGCATTGGCAGGTGGATTCTTTACCACTGAGCTACCTGGGAAGCCCTACCATAAACCCTATACTTGTTCTGAAATGTGGTTATAGTAACCGCCCCTCCCCACTTGGGAATAATCACTAAGTATTTTAAATGCTGTCTCTTGTAAAGAATATTACAGTTAAATGTTTTTTTTCATGGAGTTATGGTTGATTTACTGCCTGTTAATGAAAGTTTTTACCTTAAGTTTTTGGGTATTTTGACCTAGAAAAAATGTTGTTTCCTAAGTCCTAAACATGATTGAATGGAAAAGTATGCTCGTGTTAAGCAGAAGTGTGTGTTGTTCCTTGTGGGAAGATGCCAGTTATTTTCCTTTTGAAGGATGTCTCTGTCATTGAGAAAGTGTATTTTACCCTCCTGCTGTGAGTCTGAGAAATGTTGACCAGCCTCTTTCTCACTGGCCTTTCTCTCTGTAGTGTGGCTGTCACCAGGTCCAGAGACGTGCCTTCTTTTGGACCTCCCATCCCCAAAGGGGTCACCTTCCCTAAGTCAAATGTGTTCAGGGACTTCCTTTTGGCCAAAGTGATTAATGCGGAAAACGCCGCTCATAAGTCGGAGAAGTTCCGGGCCATGGCAACCCGGACCCGCCAGGAGTACCTGAAAGACCTGGCAGAGAAGAATGTCACCAACACCCCTATTGACCCATCCGGCAAGTTTCCGTTCATTTCTCTGGCCTCCAAGAAGAAGGAAAAGTCTAAGCCCTACCCAGGAGCTGAGCTCAGCAGCATGGGGGCCATTGTGTGGGCCGTCCGGGCCAGAGACTACAGCAAGGCCATGGAGATCGACTGCCTCCTCGGGGTCTCCAATGAGCTCGTCGTCCTCATCGAACAGGAAACAAAGAGTGTGGTTTTCAACTGTTCCTGCAGAGATGTGATAGGGTGGACTTCAACCGACGCCAGCCTCAAAGTCTTCTACGAGAGAGGCGAGTGTGTGTCCGTGGAGAGTTTCGTTAGCAATGATGACATCAAAGAGATTGTCAGAAGGCTTCAGGTCAGTGTTTTCCTTCCACTTATGTGCATGTCCCTTTCATCAAGCTTTCCATGCAGGTGAGAGCCAAGTTACAGAAGCCCGTCCTGTTTTATTAGGTCCTCTGAAAACTCCCTTCATGGTGGGAAGGAAGCCAGAGTTTATGTCACACTCGCTTCCCATCATTTTTTTCAGCAGGACAAGTAGCAGAACAAGTGGGGGAAGACACCCTGACTGTGCATCTTTGTTGGAAACTCATTTGCATGTGACCTGATCCCATTGCCGTGGTGACTGATGATGTAGCCCAACCAGTCGGCTTCAGCGGGTGAAAACAGTTGTTGGATTGAGCATCTGCTGCTTTGAATGTCTTAAGGGCAAAATGAGTAGCAGAACACCCATTTTTCTTCACCGCCAGCTCCCTGTAGGTCTCTGTTAGAGGTTTCATTGTAACTTCAGAGAAGCCATTGAGTTCTTTGGAAACAACAAGTGTGTTCCTTTGGGCCTAATGAATGGAGATTAGTGAAGGCAAAATAACCAGCCTGCTCTTCAGCTGGCGTTAGAGTATTCAGAAATAACCCTGCTGGCCATGCATACCACTTAAGACCCTAGTGGGTTCATCAGACTGTGATGTCTTTTGTGTTCTTTGTCTAGTTCGTGTCAAAAGGCTGTGAATCGGTAGAGATGACTCTGCGAAGGAATGGGCTGGGACAGCTCGGCTTCCATGTCAACTACGAGGGCATCGTGGCAGATGTGGAGCCCTACGGCTATGCCTGGCAGGCAGGGCTGAGGCAGGGCAGCCGGCTGGTAGAGATCTGCAAGGTGGCCGTGGCCACTCTGAGCCACGAGCAGATGATCGACCTCCTGAGAACATCGGTCACAGTGAAGGTCGTCATCATCCCCCCACATGACGACTGCACCCCACGGAGGTAGGTCTGAGAGTCCGGGGCCATTGGTGTAGCATGGAGAACATTCCCCAACTGGGTGGGAGTGTAGGGGGGTGTGTGAAGAGCGCTCGGTTACAGGCGATGCTGAAAGTTCCCTCCACGGAAGGTCTGACTCAGGACACAGCTCCCTTTCAGCATGTGGCAACAGCAGCTGGAAGGAATCACCAGCTTGGACCATTCCCAGGATTTACATCTCTGGGTATATAAAGTCACCGTCACAGACAGAGAAGTCTGGTAAATATCCGCTTTAAACATCTTGCTCCAGTAGCTGAGAAACATGGAACATTTGATGTTAAGAGACACTCAGCATGACAAACTGTCGGACGGTTTTCTCTTGTGTTCCGTGACCCTGCTTCTCCTGCATCTCCCATTTGTAGCCGGTTGTTGTCCAGAACTCGAAGTACTGTTTTTGACCCCTGCTGTCTCAGCCTGGAGGGCTGAATGTGACTTCCCAAGCTTTTTCTTAAAGTGGATCTGCATGTGTCAGAAATCGACTTCAGAGAAGCTAGACCCGCTCATGATGCCGGGACAGTGTAGTTCCCCGACTTCACAAAGGGGAGCCCAGGAGCTCCCCGCCCCTCCCAGCTTCTGCCAAGCCTGCAGCACTGTTGAAAATTTAATTTCTCTGTCTCTGGGGAGATTTCCTGATGGAACAGATTTAATCAACTGTTTCTTTCCTCCTCTGAACATGCACATGCTATTTTTGCTAGGTTTTATGTTTTTTTTTTTTTTTCAATCTGTTAGTTTGGTTTAAACCCGTTATTTTCTAAGAGTTCCTCTTAGGCTTTGGCAATTAATGCTTAGACTTTCTAAGGCCAAGACAATATTCTTATGCTATTTCCCCCCCCCAAAACAGGACCAGTCCTGCACCTGAGCTTTTATAGATTCACAAATGTCAAATTATAGAATGTGTAAACAGTTAGGATGGGTTATTTGTGCCCTTTAAAAACTAAGCAGCAATGGCAGTATCGGTGTACTTCAGTTCTTCAGACCAAGTGTTACAGACCAGACTGACTCAGGATTTAGTATTTAGTATTTAGTACTGCTTACCTCCTAGGTGGATGTGCTGATGTCAGAATGTGGTGAAAATCCCCTTCTCTCATAGTTTTAAGAACTGCTCCCTTTCTGATGACTGGATTTCCCTGGAAACCAAAATTTATATCCAGAACTTTTTGTTTTAGCTATTTCAAGGGCAGGGAGGGTTTATTCTGAAACTACCTTCATTTCCTCAAGCACATAGTATGAATGTTAAGTATTTTGCTTAACTGCAATTCAAGAATGACTCTTGAGTGCAATCGGAAAGGCAACTGGGTCCTTGCAGCACTCTCCAAGTGCTCTGTGATCCTCTTTCTCTTTCTTTGGCCTGTTTTCCATCCCATAGTCTCTGCTGTGAATTGTCTACTTAATAGTCTATATGTCTAAGCAGTCACTTATAAACTGGAGAAAATAACCAAGCTATGTAACTTGGCTGGGCTTCCCTTCCCTGCTAGCTCAGCTGTTAAAGAATCCACCTACAATGCAGGAGACCCCAGTTCAATTCCTGGGTTGGGAAGATCCGCCAGAGACAGGATAGGCTACCCACTCCAGTATTCTTGGGCCTCCTGGTGGCTCCGTTGGTAAAGAATCCATCTACAGTGCGGGAGACCTGGGTTGGGAAAATCCCCTGGAGAAAGGAACAGCTACCCACTCCAGTATTCTGGCCTGGAGAATTCCAAGGGCTATATAGTCCATGGGGTCGCAGAGAGTCAGACACGACTGAGTGACTTTCACTTTCACTTTTCGTGTAACTTGACAGCCTTAGGTACAGAGGCTGCTGGTCTAAGGACTAATCTACTCAAAAGGAAGCCTGTTGATCGTCAGATGCCATCTGTCTGCTCAGGGGTCTTTCCCCATGTTTCTTGGCCCTTCAGTTCACGGGGAGAGAGAAATAGATGTGTATGTGAGAGGAAATGGGATGGAATGGACAGCATTACTGACACTGAACTGTGAATAGTAGTTACTAGAAAGAGGGTCCATGACAGGAGGTGGTTTGTCTACCACAAAATACTAGACTAGATATATTTGCTGTGGTGTATTGATAAAAACAAGTAATATTTGCTGAGTTATTACTTTAATATGCCAGGCCCTAGAAAAAAGCACTTTTATATGGATTAGCAAATTTAATCCATGTAACATCCCTGTGAAGTAATAGTATTAATATTACTCCTAGTTAAAGGAAACCCACAGTCAGAAAGGTTAGTAACTCCCCAGCCTCATCTGGCAAATCCAGGTCTAACTTGAGAATCCAAACTCTTAGCTTTGTATGCTTGGGACAGAAATCCTTTCCCTGTGTACCAGTGGAAGCAGGATATGCTGGTAAACTGGCCTTCTGGGGAAAAGAACCTTGGTTTGTAGTATTTGCTGATTCCCATGGTGCAGATACTCCCGCTGTGGCCGATTTCAAGCCCCCAACGTGCCACCCCTGAATGCACACGTGGAATGGATGCTCAGAGTCTGACCCTGCAAACCAGGGCTGGCCGGCTCCAGCACAGCCTTTGTGGGTAAGCTGTATTTTCCTTCATCGCCCCTTACGGCTTCTGGGGCATCACTGTCATCCTCTAGTAGCCACGGAGCTGGCAGTGCTGGGACAGAAGAGTGTTAGGAGCCTGCCCCCGTGAAGGCGTGGGATGGGGGGCTGATGAGCGCACTGCACAGCCCCGCGGGCCTCGGAGATGCACTCTGGCCCTTTCACTAGAGTTTCCATCTGAGACCGACTGACCTAGGTGGGTCTGAAATGATGCCCTGCATGCCTCTGGAGGACCAGAAGCCCGCTCTCCCCTTCTCTCCCTTAGAGACAACTTCAAAGGAACAGCTGAAGCATTAACACCTTGCTACAGTTTTCAGCAAAATAAGATAATGCTCTTCTGTCACTTTTTTTCCTCTCCTCCGCACTTCACACTCCCACGACTGTTTTGCTCACAGCTAATTACTCTGCTCTTTGACTAGTCACTCTCCCCTCTGTCAGCTGGTGCTGCTGCTCCAGGGCCAGGAAGAGCAGGCCTCCTGGAAACACGCTGCCCTCCCTCCCCAGCTGCGTGTTTCTCAGGGTCCCCAGGACCCTGGGGTCATAGGGCCCAGGCTCTAGCATGAGGATTGTATGTAATCACCAACATCCATGTATGCTCACACGGAGGCATCACTAGTTTTGGAAAGGCAGAGTTTTTTTTGTTTGTTTGTTTTTAATGAAAAGGCCAGTTAAACAACAATAAAGTGGGGCTTCAGCAACACCTGTAAAGTCCAACTCTTTGCTTGTCCTCAGGAAACAAGCAGACCCTCCATGATTGCTCCCACAGGAAAGTGTATTAAAGAGAAGATGGGACAGGGGAAGTAAAGCAAAATTCCTGAGGCCCTACTGTGTACTGGGTTTTTGAAAAAGTCTTCATGGCAGCCTCATTTCCATTGAAACAGTGAGCAGAATGAGGGTTGCAGAGGTTTGGTTACTGTGCAGAGAGTAGCATGGGCAACTAGGGTAATGGCATGATGGAAGCAGTCCTGCAGAAACAGGTTTGGGATTTAACTGTGGACTTCCCCAGAAGGCTCCCTCCAGGGAGTGAGATGTCACACTGCTTGGGGGAGCCCCCACCCCATCCATCGCCAGTGGGAGTATATGACCAGCTCTGTGTCTTGGTGTCTGTGACCACCGACTCAAGCAGACATTCTTGTGGCAAGATGAGAAATACCTAGATAGCAGGTTCAGTTGTGATGCTCTGAATGGTATTGCATGGGAGTGGTGGCCCTTCATTCTGCTGAGGGTCACCAGCCTTTGGATTATTTTTTTAATTGAAATATAGTTGATTTACATTGAGTGTTATTTTCAGATGTTATTTTCAAACAGCCATGATTCAGTTAATATATACATATATGTGTGTGTGTGTGTGTGTGTATATATATATTCTTTTTCAGATTCTTTTCCCTTATAGGTTACTACAAAATAATTGAGTATACAGTTCCCTGAGGAAAGCAATCAAGGGCCATTCAAGTGGAAAGGCTAAAAACAAGTTACCTAAAAGGACCAAATTATTTTTTAAGTAAGAATTGATTGCAAAGGTTTTTTCCTCATTTTAAAAAACAAGTATTGCAATGTGCAGCAGCATCCTGCTTTAGAGTGAGAAGGGCTGTTAGAAACCATCTGGTTCAAGTCTCTAATTTTTTTAGATGAGGAACTTTGGTTCAAAGAAATTAAGTTGGTTTTTTTTAATTCCCAAGCCAAAATCACATGGTTTATTAGAGATAGAGCTGTCTCCAAGCACCCAACTTTTCTGATTCAGGAGTCCAGTATTGTGATGGTCTGTTCAGTATACCACTCAGCTGATTTTCTATCTGTATTTCTTAAGGTCTCAAGGATGAAGGAGAGAGAAATGGGTAGAAAGAAATTAAAGGAAAAAGTTAGAATAAAAAAGCTAAAAAGAGAAAGAAGATGGGGTGACTTTTCAATGAAGTTAGGGTTTCAGCCTGTCACTTTGTGTCACTTTTAGCACTTAAAGTTTAATTTCTGTTGATTGTAGCTCTTTGAGAACTGTTGATATTTTGTCATGGGCTATGCCCCAAATGAAATGCAATAGTCAGATGTAAGATGAAGTTTGGGGATCTGAAATAGAGATATTCTTTAGTTAGTGACTGAAATAAGACTAACCTACAAGTAGACTTATTCTGTGGATTCAAATCCTGGCTCTGCCACTTCTTGGCTGTGTAGTCTTTGCAAATTAATCTCTGCAGGCCTCCATTTCCTCATCTGATCCACAGGGATAGTGATGCTCAGACCTGAGAGTTGTTATAGCAGAGCCAGATTAGTGCTAGCCAGTCATGAGCTGTAAGCATCAACAGTTTTTGTTGTTCAAGGCCAGATTTTACTTGGAGTAATACAATACAAATCCCTTTGTGAATTTTCACGCGTGTCATGAAAAGCCAGCTTTTATCTTTGTTCTTCAGTGTACTGCCCACTTCTGGATTCCATATATCATTCTTCCATTTTACAGAGATGAGTAAGGGAGAAGAAGCTAGTGGTGGCCTGCTGCCATGGAGGGCAGTCAGAAGTGGCAGGATGGCAAGGGTTTTGCACTGTGAAATCTTTGCTTTTCTGTCTCTGTAAATGCATCTTCCCCCCATCCTTTGGCCTTATCATGCTTGATTCTATAATTATGAAATATGCAGAAGGTTTCTAGTAATATGCTAAGAGTAGTGGGGATGAAATACAGACTATAGAGAAGACAAAATCTCCGGCTTAATGAGATCTTTTGACCAGTTTTAGTTTTAAAGAGTACTTGAACTATAAGAAAATAGAGTAATTATCAATTGCAAGTCTTCCATTTTACAAAGAAACTAAGGCCCCAAAGCAGATATTGTCTATTTGGTATTATGTTATTATTGTTTCTATTTTATTTATTTACTTACTTTTCTATCCTGATGCATTATGGGCTGCAATCAGCCTATGAAGGTATAGAATTAAAATTCATTGAGGGGATCTCTGTGTATGTGTGGAAGGGGGGTGGGGAAAGGGAGAAGGTAAATTGAAAACTGGCCTGTGGGAAATTTTTGAAAAGTTAATACCCCAGGATATGTAGTAAAGTTCAGTACATACACATGTAAATCCATGGCTGATTCATGTCAATGTATGGCAAAAACCACTACAATATTGTAAAGTGATTAGCCTCCAACTAATAAAAATAAATGAAAAAAAAAATAAAGTTCGGTACATATTCTGTATTTGTGTTGGTTCCTTGCAGCCGACAGAAAGGGGTATAGATGGTATGGTCCATTGAGTTTATAAGTTAAATAGACCATCGCAGAGGAGAAGCAAAGCTCGCCATAATTTTGAGGTGGAGAGAAATTTTTCCATGCATTATCATAAATTTGTGTTAAGATTCTTTTGGCAAGCTACAGCATTCTTGCATTGTATTTCCTGATCCAGAACCCTAGATAATGTACGATCAGAAATGAAAGGTTCATATATACTACGGTAGCACCTGTGTTAACAGCCAACCATGTGGCGATGAATATTTTTGTCAGAAATATTGAATCAAAGCTGGATACTATATCAGAGCCTAAGGTGATAATCCCTCATTTCAGAGAAAAGGGTTCATTATGTAAGAAGTCAGTAACTTCTGAAAGTAATGTCAAGTGGGCCATACAGTGTTCTGCAAACTGCAGGGTGTAACTCTTAAAAAGATCATGAAATCTGTTTAAGAGGTTGTACCCAGTCTATTTTTTTTCTTTAATGAAACAGATTAACACGGAATATAGCAGAATGGAGGCTATCAGAGGAGGGTTGTGTGTATTTATGGTTGTGCTGTATCACAATATAAAATGTACTTGTCACTCAGATTGTGGTCCAAAAAGTTCAAAAGCCATTGTCACCCAAGCATAAAAGAGGCACAGCAGGGTCTTGGGCATAGGGTCAGATGAGGGTTGACCTTGGCTTTGGCGGGGCTTGGAGGGAGTGGCAGAGAAGCTCCAAGCAGAGGTACCCGTTGGAGGCTTGGGCTGAGACTGAGGAGGGCAAGGACCCCAGCAGATCCACGTGCCCAGAAGCAGCGCTTTTCAAAACCTGCGGCTGTCGTGAGGGCGAGGGAAAGAACGCTTGTGATTGCTGGGAGTCTTACCCTGAAGTACACAGGCAAGGTCATGAGCAGGGGGACCGTTCCATCGTGCTCATTTTCCCACCAGCAAGAGCCCCTTCCTCAGATGAAAACCAGGCCTTCAGCTGGAGGCTCTATGGCCGTGCCTGTCCAGTACCAGAGCCGTGAGCCATCTGTGGCTACAGAGCCACTGTAACGTGGCTGGTCCCAAAGGAGCTGTGCTCTAAGTGTAAAATGCACTCCAAGTTTACACTGGTGTAAAATCTCTCGTTAATTTTTTAAATACTGATTTATTGATCGCTTGTTGAAATGATAACATTTTGGATGTATTGCGTTAAGTAAAATGTATTCTTGAACTGAATTCACCTGTTTCATTTTGCTTTGGTAATGTGTCTGCTGGACGTTTAAAAATTATGTACAAGGCTTCTGTCGGTGGCTCCTACTGTATTTCTGTTGGACGGCGCTGGTCTGTACTTTCCTTATGCTGCCTCTAAATTTCCTCTTAAAGGACTGTTTTGCTATTACTCTTAACCTTTCCTTTCGAGATTTTTCCACATGCTTCTCAATCTTCGAAATGTCTTTAAGAAAAAAAGTCTTTTTTTTCCCCCACTTAGTGATGAAATTCAAATGCACACTTTGAGTTAATGCTTTGGTGAGAATAGATTTTTTTTCCCCCCAGTAATTTGCCTATCAGTCAAGTCAGTAATGGATTGAACCTTCTTTGGTAGTTTGGAGAAAGGGACTAGAAGGTGGGTTCCTCCTTTCTTAAGGTTTGGGGGTTGGGGTGATGCACAAAAAGAGGCTAAAATGATGGGAGACAGTTGTGTGCCCGCCATTCATTTCATTCAGGCTGCTGCCTGGGGCTGGCCCTGCTATGAGAGATTTCTGGCTTTTGGGGAGCTGGGGGGAGGCCTGATTTTAGATTATGCTTTGTTCCCCAGCAATTTGATAATTTTTTATTTGATAATTGCTAATTTCAATAACTGGTACTTTTTTTTTCTCCTCCTGAGCTAAATTTGGCTCTCGGTTTGGATTTCAAGATTTCTCCCTACTTATTTTTGACTGTCGGGATCCCAAGAAATTCAAAACTATATACCCTTTCGATCCTTAATCATAAGGGAAGGATCTAAAGCTTCCTTGTGATTAAGGATGTAAAGCCGCCTGTTTCCTTCAAGGCCCCGTCTTAGAGGTCTGCTCCCCCCCCCATATACTGTCCTGGCACCTTCCCTCCCCAGGTCGCAAAGCCAACTCTACCCCTGCTCCACCCTCACCCCCCACCCCCACCAGGGCGACCACAGGTCTCATTGTCTGTCCAAGATTCCATATCTCAAGTCCAGTATTTGGAACTGAGCAAAGGAAAATATGGGTATAATGCTTCTGAGGATTCTGGTTTTTGAAAGGAAAATGATTGTAGGGCTTCATGATTGAAAGATGGTTTGAAACCAAAAATGAAGTGTTTGACGCGTTTTAACTGTTCATGAGAATTCGTGTGGTTCTGCCAACAAGCAGAAGCAATGTTGATGTTTCTTCTCTCTATGCCCTCCCCCTAGGAGTTGCTCTGAGACCTACCGCATGCCAGTGATGGAGTACAAAATGAACGAAGGGGTTTCCTATGAATTCAAGTTTCCCTTTCGAAATAACAACAAGTGGCAGAGGAATGCCAACAAGGGGCCGCATTCACCTCAAGTCCCGTCCCAGGTGCAGAGTCCCATGACCTCAAGGCTGAACACCGGGAAGGCGGATGGGAAGATGCCTCCTCCAGAAAGAGCCGCCAACATCCCCCGCAGCATCTCTAGCGATGGGCGCCCGCTGGAGAGGCGGTGAGTGTGTCTTTCAAGGTTTGCCCTGAATCTCTGCCCCAGATTTAAATATCTCCAGGCCCAGAAGTACCAGTGTTTGAGCTGCCCATATTTTACTAGAAATCAAAAATTAAAACTGAGATGCATGCACTAGTGGTCTTCAAACCATGGTAGCATTCTGAAGCCAGCAGGGTAAATGAAGATGTGTTCCAGCAAAGCATTTGGCCTTGTTTAATGGCATCTGGGCTTTGTTCTTTCATTTTCTGTGATACCAACAGAAATCATCATTGCACACTTAGGAGCCATATAAACTAGAACTTGTCAGTCACTTTGAGGTGACATTGACCATATCATCATCTTTGACAGTCTTTGACTTGTAGAGGATTAGTGATATGATTGCAGCAACAGAAAGTTTTTGGTTGAGTGTCTGTGTTTGTGTTTGTGTTACTTTGTTATAAAGAATTGTGAGAAGGGAAAGCCGCTAGTATAGTACAAACATACTTTCCACTGCTCTGAATGCAGAAGAAAATAGTGGATGTTAGAACACTCAGTCCTGAGTAAAGTAATTAAAAAGAGCAGGCAGGGATTGAGGGATCCCAGAAAGTAACAGACCAAGGTTGGTCGTTAAATGGAAAGTCACAGTGAATTTACTCACAAATCATATCTGGTTAATTCTTTCTTAACCAGGATGCCCTAGCATTTTGTCTCAAATTCACTATAAAATGCAGCACCATGAACTAAGAACCTAGGGCAAAAATTAAAATAGAGTAAGTGCTCTTAAAATGTGAATACATATAGACTGTATAATTTTAAGTCATTGTACTATAAATTCAGACACTCCAGATTACCTCTACTACAGTTTAACACAGTAACCTGCTAGTCCTCTGCTAGAAGAAGCTGACTTCTTTCTGTACATGTACTGCCCTTTCCCCATCATTGTGCTTGTCTTGATCACATCTCTGCGTGTTTTTGTGGTCTCCATACTACAGAGGGGATCAGGAACCCTCAGAACTGGCAGGGAGAAGTCTCTGTTCCAGAAGCTGCTGTGGAATGAAGAAAGATCCCTATGGAGCCAAAATGTGAGCCTGACTCCAGCCAGAACAGGGCGCCAAGGAAAACGTCCCAGCGATGCTTCAGAAGTCATTGGTTCAGACTGAGAGCAGAAAGTTGGAGGTTTTCAAAACCACACTATGATGTCTTTTATCTTAAAAGACATAAAACATTGACACTTAACTATTTCAGAAACACTAGAATACCATGTAGAAATAATCTGATCAAAACAAAAACAGACAACCAAAAAAAACCCTAGTTGTCTTTCTAAAATTCCTCATATAATCTTGGGGATTTATTTACAGAGCCTTGCTGTTTATCTCAATAAAAGATTCCTCTCCCAAAGTGGCTACATTCCCATCTGGACTCCTCTTGCTTTCATTATTTTCAGGAAGGAATAGCATCCAAGTGATCGCTGAATAAATTCTTTGTTCTGCACATCCCAAACTTGGCTCCCTCTGAGGTGTGTGTTAACTGAAATTCATGATTTGGCCCACATTTTGAAAGATGAACCTAGGAAACCGTTGTTTAGAGAAGGACCTTTTGTTCCTCTCAGTGCTATTTTCTTTCTTTCCAAGACAGTCATCAGGAATTTATGAGTGAAATCGGTTTCACGTTATTTTATATGATATTCCATATAATAAAATAGCAGAATGTATTTTGATTCCATGTTGAATTTAATTTCTGCAACAGAAACTAAAGCTTATGGCTGAATGTACTGACCTCCGAAAGTGAAAATATTTTTTGTGGCTTCTTATCCTCTTAGGATGCAGCAAGTGCTATAGAATGCATCACTCCATTTATTGAAGTTCTTTCTGTGGATGTTTTTTCTTTCTGTGGATGTTTGTGTGTACCTTTCCCATAACTCTGTCCAAAGGACAGGGAATTCTCATGCTGTCCCTGTAAAACTGTAATAGCCCTGTGGCTCTCCAAGGCAGAAGATGAAACTGGCAGAAGCGAGGCTACCAATGGTTTTTGGAAAATTTGACCTCTACTAAGTCTTCTTAGTTTCAGATATCCTTTAAGACACTGGACTAGGATTTCAGATCTAACAATGGAGGGCTTGTAACGCTCAGCTCTAAATTTTCAGATTATTTGTCTCCTCTTCATTTTGAAGGGTATGGAATTAGATGGCTGTTCCTCTCTTGTAAAAATTTAAGAGTTTGATGTCCTATCCCATCATTCCTAACTTTCAGTAAAGCAGTATTTCTTATTTAAGTTTTAACTTTGAGGCATACATAGAAGGTACTGTTTGAGAAACAGTACCGAGTGAGTATTCAGTAGACTCCTGACATTCACCAGGAATACTTCCCGAGTCCTCCATTAAGACCTAGAGTCATAAAATAGACCTGAGAATATAATTTCCTCCATGAAACATAGTAAAATAAAACTAAAAATTTTAAGCATTCCGTTCCTAGTTCTACTGAGAACAAATTACCTTACTGCAACATGGACGTGATGCTCCTGGCTATCCATACCTCCCCATCTGACTCTCCGCCTTCATCCCAGCCCTGCCCCTAGACACCATTTGCCTTTGTACCTGGGCCATCTGTAGAGTGATACGGACCTTTCAGATGAATCATAAATGGTCAAAACAGATGCCAAGGTCTGCCACTCCCTGAACCTTACCTTACCAGTAGTAGCATATGCCTGATACTGAGACTAAAGGATGGTCCCTTGGTATCAGTATAGGATTGGTTCAGAACCTCCCTGGATACCAAAACCTGCAGCTGCTCAAGTCCTGTAATTAACCCTCACATCCTCAGCTGGTCTGCAGATCATGAACATAGTAGTATATACATTGAAAAAAATTTCCTGTAGAAGTGAGCCTATGCAGTTCAAACCCATATTGTTCAAGGGTCAGCTATATTGCCTTTACGTGGTTGGTTTGTTTCATTTATTTTTCTCCCCCAGGTCAGGCAAGTTGTATTAAACTGTAGAGAACCAGCTTATTTAGGATGAAGTGTGCAGCCACCTCAAGCCTACTCTGCACATGCTACACAAATCTGCCTGCTTCATTCACCACGACTGGGCACAGCACAATTCATTTTAAATGAAAACTGAATATACTGCTTGTAGAAGCATAGTTTTCTTGAATTGTATGCAAGTTCCCAGACTTAACGGTCATTAGAAACAATTAAAGAAAAAAATACTTATGGAACAGATTATCCTTTTTCACAATTTTTATGACAAACTAAAAGGTGTTGTTCCTATTTGGAGTTTCTAACAAGAATTATTTAACTGAATTTTGCTCTCTATACATTGATTAGAGAAACGGATACAATAGGAGTAAATGACCCATTTGCCATCTAAATAGAATAAAGTCTGATTAGATTTGGTTTAAATATAAGAGCTTTGTGCTATCTAGGTGGCCTTGAAAGTGTATAATTTTATGGTATTTGTGGGAGAAGTTCTTATTGACAGAATTATTATTTTTGTTCAGTAGCTAAATTGTGTGTGATTCTTTTTGACCCCATGGACTGCAGCATGCCAGGCTCACTGTCCATCACCAGCTCCCAGAGTTTGCTCAGACTTATGTCCATTGAGTCGGTGATGCCATCCAACCATCTCCTCCTCTGCTGCCCCCTTCTCCTACCCTCGATCTTTCCCAGCATCGGGGGTCTTTTCCCGTGAGTTGACTCTTTGCATCAGGTGGCCAAAGTATTGGAGCTTCAGCATCAGTCCTTCCAATGAATATTCAGGGTCGATCTCCTTTAGAATTGGCTGTTTTGATTTCCTTGCTGTCCAAGGGACTTTCAAGAGTCTTCTCCAGCACCACAATTCAAAAGCATCAAGAATTGACAAAATTAATATTTAACAAAAACAGTTGATATGGTGCAATCTCTGGTTTGGCCTCAAATATATCTTGAGTGTAAGGATAGTACTGAATTTAAGTTAGCTGGCTGTGGTACACTGAACTTAACACATTACTGTGTTTAAACATAATATGGGATTCGTAATACAACCCTGATCGGTGTTAATATGCTCAGAAAAGCTTAAGTATTTCAGGGGTTTTGCATAAACAACAGGCATGTTGGCATATAAAAGCATTTTCCTTTCTCCTTTTTGTAGATGGAGTATTGCCAAGCTTCCTATAAATGCTTAGAGTCAGATCATCCTGAATCAATGCTCCTTTTGCGTTTTACCTGGATGCCATCCTCTCCCCCTTTCTCCACTGTATTTAGCTTTCAGCAGCTGGATGGAATGCTGCTTCGTAAACAGAGTTACAGCTGGCTACACTTGCAGCCTCCCTAGTGCCCTCCTCTGCAGATGCCTGCACCATGCAGGGCATGAAGATCATGCCTAGAGGATATTGTTGAAACAAACGCAGATAGTTCTTCTATTTCTGTTTCAGTATCCATTAACAAAAACTCCCTTTCCCCCACCCCTAGGCCCTTACCATTCTACTTTCTGTGACTTTGACTATCTTGGTACCTCACATAAATAGAAAATTTACCTTAGTGGAATCATCCACTGTTTGTTCTTTGGGGACTGGTTTATTTCACTTTAGCATAATGTATTCAGGCTTCATTCATGTTGTAGCATATGTTGAGTTTTCCTTCTTGCTTATTAGCTCAGGCTACTGTAACAAAATACCATAGATTCAGTGGCTTATACAACAGACATTTACTTGTGGAGTCTGGAAATTCCAAAATCAAGGTTCCAAAAGGTGTGGTTCTTGGTGAGGACCCTCTTCTTGGCTTGTAAAAAGCACCTTCTTGCTGTGTCCTCACATGGCAAAGAGAGGAAGCTCTGGTTTCTTGCCCCTCTTATAAGGGGACTCATTGCATCATGGGGGCTCCACCCTTATGACCTCATCTTAACCTAATTACCTCCCAAAGGCCCCACCTCCTAATGTCATTACACTGGGGTTAGGATTTCAACACATGAATTCGGTGAGGAGTGAGGGTGGGGGGATCCCCAGGTGGCACAGTGGTAAAGAATCCACCTGCCAGTGCAGAAGCCACAGA